TGCTATTGCTATTGCTCCATCCTCCAGTGTGTGTGTGTATGTGCATGATTGAGTGTGTGTATATTATTATTATTTTTATTATTATTATTCAGTGGAGAAATGATTATGGGAAACAGTGTCAAGCCCTTTGTGGGAAAGAGTGTCAAGTGGTACAGAAATGTAAATGCTATTGCTATTGCTCCATCCTCCAGTGTGTGTGTGTATGTGCATGACTGAGTGTGTGTATATTATTATTATTATTATTATTATTGTTGTTGTTGTTGTTGTTATTGAGTGGAGAAATGATCATGGGAAAGAGTGTCGAGCTCTTTGGTTCCACTCTATTTCTTTTCTTCAAATCAACTGACAAATCCCTTTCTTCCTTTCTTGCATTAGGTGGGTGTGGTGAAATCGCATACAGGGGATACGCCATTTAGTACTGATGCAGTTTGTCTTATATATTATCTTAACAATGACAACAGCTTATGGGTTTAAGTTAGGTTAAGTCAGGTTATATGTAATGTAAACCCTATCTTGGGTACACAAAAGCTGAGGGTATTTTATCACATTACAGTCTGTTCCCTGTAGTTCAGGTGTTTGATGCCCATTTCACCTGACTGCTGAAACAAAACGCTGAACAATAGAGTCAGCACAAGAGCAATACTAATCATACCTTAGCCTCAAAGATGTACAGAATCTGCATCTCGTACAGCAGGTTGTAACATCATCCATTTCCCCAGAGAACATTGCACAGAACAAAGGAGAGGGAGGCAAATACAGGGGTTTTTGCTTCTACATCATTTTAAAGAGATTAAATAATCTGAAAATTATATACCTGAATACTACAGATTGCATTATTTTCTGATCTGTTTCCTAGTACAGTTCAAAGTAATTTATTTTCATCTAACAAGTTCTATGTGATGCTCTTTTTTGGAGAGTTTTTTTGTTTGTTAGCAACTCCGTCAAGGATTTACAACAAAAACCATAAAGGGTTTTGTGGCATCTTAAAAACTAAAAAAAATGTTACAGCATATACTTTCATAGACTTTCATACATTTTAAAGTCTATATTTTTCAGATACATGAACTATACACCTAGGCACACTATTTCTCACACATACACATAGGGTGGAAAGTAGGGTGCACAATTTCCTGAGGTTAGTGACCACACTGGGCCCACCAAGTTTCCCATTGTTGCCACAGTTGCCGATGGAAAGCCAAATGACTGAAGATTTTTTTGAGTGTTTGTGTGTGCCATGGTTGCTGGTTTTGGTTGATATGGTTTTGTTTGTAGCTGTACTTTCAATCTGGGCTGCAACATTCCAGCAGTGAGAGCAACTGGGGACAGTATAGTGAGTAAAGGCAGCTGTGTATTGCCAAGCTCTGATGTAAAGAGGGAAACAAATGTAAATATTGGTCTTCTGTAGCAATGCAATGAAAAAGTACAGCTTAACTAAAGCTTAAGGTAGGAATACTATGCATATTTACTTGAAAACATGTTCCATTAAATATGTATGCGAAAGCACAATGCATACTGTCCCAATTTGGCAAGGACAGCCACGATTAATCCTCTGCTGTTCTACTTTCTTAGCTACCTTTAAAATGTCTCAATTTTGTTCCCCTCTTCCAGCTTTTCTGCTTTTTCCTTGGCTTACTTCAGTCATTTGAAAAGTTCAAATGACAAAAGTAGTTTGCACTCAATTACCTCAGTGGGAGAGAGAGGAGAGGACGGGTGGAATCTTGTCCTTTCTAAACTCAGTACATAAATTCCAGGGTGTTTTCTACTCAAAACAGTAGTTTTGTGTGTTCTTCTTCAATAACTTTTGCCTCTTGTGGCATAGCCACACCCTTTTGGCCCACTCTTCTGTGACTCAGCCATATGTATCCCAGTTTTAATCTGTGAAATGTTGAAGGGTGTGATAGTGGTGATTCAGTAACTGACTGTTCAGTAACATCCTAGCATTCCTAAGTGTGGGACAAAAAAAACCAACCCCATTGATATCCCATAAATGCAAATTCTTGAAAAATTCTAATCCAACATTTTCACATAGGAGACTCCCTTCAAAATTCCTTCACTGAAGCAGCTTAAGCAACTTCAGTGAAAAAACTGAGGACAGTTTTGGAAATCTGGCAGAAGGCCTCACAGACATTTTGAAAAAGCCTAAAGGCAAATGATGTGTGATAGTCTTGCATTATGAAGACCTTGGTTAAAACTGCTTGATCAGTCTCTGGGGGGGGGGGGGTTCGAAGATAGTTATTCTCAGCCTAATCTATCTCACAAGGTTGTTGTAAGATATGGCAAAATCATCAAAATGTATACTGCCCCAAGCTCCTTTGAGGAATGTTGGGATAGAAAAACAATGTTATTTTTTTAAGGGCATAATTTATATTCTGTTAAAATGGATGGAAATTGTACAGCAGCACATCACCCTGGGCCAAACTAATTTTTAAAGAACCAACCTACCATGACCTCTAGGTCATAAATCAATTTAAAGCCATATTCTCTTCAGTAATTCCATTTTGCTCAAAATAAAATTTGTATAATGTGCATGATTTGAAGAGTGCAGGAACCACTGCATTTTTTAAAAAAAGAGTGCAATTGCTAGACTTGCCACAAACAACTAATATGTATCCCAAATGCTTATGAATTATTGTTAATGTAAGAGAGCTGTTTAGAAAGCTAGTCTTTTACATATATCACTTTCTGTAATATACAAATACAATATCTGCTGCCACTTTTTTTCTGTTAAGGAAAAATGTAGTTGCTTTTTCTGCTTTCAAAACAAGGCCTATCTAAGCATGAACCAGAATTTATGGATGAAAAGGGATAGTTTTACTTGCTGTCCCTCTGACCCAATGCATTTCATGAGCAAGTTCAAATATTTCCTTCCAGGATAGAATGTAGATCTATTAACTGGAATGGGTAAATCTGCCCATGTTGAATTGACATTGAAATGAATTGTGTTCTTTCTGGAAAAAAAGAAGAAGAAAAGAAAGAATGATATTTCCAAGCCAATTCAAGATCAGGAAATTATATTCCAAATTCCCAACTATTGTGGTCCATAGTAATTTGTTAAGGCAGCCAGATCAGCAGCACCCCAGGCCCTGAGATATCAGAGCCAAAACCCGAATCACGTCCCTGTTGATGTCACAGGGAATGAGTCTTGCTGGTGTCATAAAGCATGATGCATTCAGCACCAGCTGTATTTAATAGTATCCCAGAACATTTCTGTGGTTGGAAATGTAGTCTTACAAGCTCCTCACTGAACAGGAAAAAAGTATACTTCTTACAGTTCTTAGTTTTTCACACTTTTGCAAGAACACACGGAAGTTGTAGCCCAACCAAAGAAAGCTTCCCAAGAAAAACACAGTCAACAGTAGCTGCTTTACCCATCAGGGGTGGGTAAAGGAAGTAGGAAAAAAGAATATTGTGATGTCCAGCCTGGACTGTTTAAATTCTCCCCTGCATTTTCTTTCATTTTAGTGTAGTTTTCAGTATGTTTGAGCATAGGAATGTTCCATTGCATTAGTTTGTGGGAGGACCTGTAGGAATCCCCTGCATTTTTCTAGTTTTTGGTTTGCCCCTTCCCAGCAAGCTCTGCTTCAGCTTGGGATTTTTTTAGGCAGGCTTGGCTTTGTCTGTTTGGTGGCAAACAGGCACAGACAGACAGAAAGGGCATTTCTTA